GGATGTCTACCACCGCTACAGCAGCCGGCAGATGCCACTCGACCTCCTCAGCTTCAAAGACTTCAACACGCTGTTGCACGAGCAGGCACCGACCTTCCTGCAAGCTTGTGTGAGTGTTGTGTTCCCCAGGGGGATGCTTTCCTTGGGGGGATGGTGGGAGGGGATGAGGGGGAGGTTGCCTCCAGGGATGCTCCCAGGGGAGTGGGGAGGAGTCCCCACCAAGGGTTGTGGTTCATGAGTGGGTTTCTGTCATCAGACCCCACTTGTCCATGTGCTGCGGGGACACCTGCACTCATCCCCCCACCACCGCAGGGGTGCTGAGCAGCCAAAGGGGGGTTTGGGACAAGAGCCCGTCCATCCAGGGCTTTAACTGGGGGCTAACTGCAAGATAAAAAGAGGGTCACAACGTTCCTGCAGCTTCCAAACGCTTCCCAGGGCATGCAAGAATAAAACCGGCTCAGTTTCCACCAGTGGGTGTGCAGCCCAGGGAGGGGTCACGCTAACATGTGTCCTGTCCCCCCCATTGCAGAATAGGGACGATCAGAAATACCTGAACGGGCTCTTCAAGGAGACAGACTTAAATAAGGACAAACAGCTGACTTTCGAGGAGTTCACCACCGTGCTGGGCAAGCTGACCGACGACGCCCATCGCATCATCCACGAGGAGGAGCGCTGTAAACCCGACAAGCATTGAAATCCCCACGCCTGCACCCTGAAAAAAAAAAAACCTCTGAGGGGGGTTGCTTGTAGGAATCGGGCTCTGGCTGCTTTCTGTCTGCTTGGGTCATTCATGCTTGTGAGATAATAAAGCATCACTTGAAGTTCCCCGAGTCCTCCTTATCTCAGCAATCCCTTTTGCATCCGTCTTTCAGCGATGGGGAGGGCAGGCACCACCTGCAGCGAATGCACGGTCCTGCCAGAGCCGTGGGACAAAAATTTACCTAATCGAGGCACCCCAAAAACCCAGTAAATAGCTTAAGATGTGGGTGGGCAAGAGGTGGATTGCTCAGTGTCTGGTCCAAACCAAGAGGACTGGAGTGATGGACTAGGAAGGTATTAATGGCCAGAAGACCAGCACAAGCCTCTCCCTGAGTTCTGTGGGATTTTAACCATCAGCTGCAATATATCGCAGCTCTATGAGAGGTTTTTCTCCTGGCAGAGGAATTTTTCTGCCTAGACTGGGAAGAGCACAGCCAGCCTAGCTTGGGGAAGCACCTTCTGTTTTGTTGATCCTCATCGAGCTTTTTCCCACCCTCATCCAGCTTTTTCCCCTTGGCCATGCCAAGTGCGTCCTCCTGGATGCAGGAAAAATTCATTAATGCCCATGACAACAGCAGTTCACAGCAGAACACAGCCTTTGCCACAAGAACAAGCCAGGGTGCTCTTCAGAAAAAAAAAAAAATACAGAACTCACTATGTGCGTATATATAGCTTCTAGCCCATGGGAAATTCTGAGATTTAAATTTTTCTCTCTAAAACCCAATAAAAACTCAAAATTCAGAGGTTTCCCACACAGCCAACTCATCCGGAGCACTCCCCCCGACCCTGCTGAATCACTTGCTACCCAGCCGAGACGAAACACCCGGCTGGTTCCCATCTTGGAGTTTTCCACCAGTAAAATATCCTTCCCAAAACCCTGATGGGCTCCAGCAGGTCACAGGGGTCTTGTCCCTGTCTGAGCCATCTGAGGATGTTCTGGTGCATCTGGGGATGCAGCTGGTTCCTTGCAGCACCAACAAACCAGTCTCTGGGTGCTGAACGCTGTGTCAGGTCACAGCTGGAGCATCGGATGCTGCTCAAAGGTGCTCAGCAGCCAGAGCTGAGCACATCCCCTGGCTTCCCTGAGCTAAACCCACATCTAGCAACCAGAACGTGTCTCTTATCCTGATTCTGGGCTAAAATCTTCCGTGAAGCACAGCAAATCTCATAGTGACAAACCCTTCCGGGCCCTCTTCCTGCCCCAGCCACTCACTTGCCCGTAAATGTCTGTTTTGAAAGAGTTTTGCAACCGCTGCCAAGCAGGGGGTGCCCCGCCAGTGCTCAGGTCCTCGGGGCACAACCAACCCCAGTCACCTTGAACCAGATCTTTCACTTGCTGTGGCTATTGGACCGCTTCCCGCTCCTTCCTTGCTCAACCCCGGTGGCCCTGGGGCAGGGATTGCAGCTTGCTGCGGTGACTTCGGCACGGCTTACGGGCACGGCTGGACAGGGAGGCTCCCCCTGCAAGGAAACCTGCAGAACCAGGCAAAATGTGGTGCTAGGACAGGTTCTGGTGACCCTAAGTGATACCCAGGCTCCCTGGTCACATCAGTGATTGCGCTGGCATTTCAAAACCAGACACCTGGGGTCTTACCCCTGCTGCCTGCTGGGCACATCTGAGGGTCTGGCCACCATCCCTCTTTGGAAATCCCTGGCCCATCCCATACCCTCTAAACCATCTTTGGCTCTTCCTCACCTCCCAGATGACAAAAATGACCAAAAGCAGGTTCCTGAAATTGCTGCAAAAATTCTGCAATGGGGCGGATGGTCCCCAACACCCTGTTGTGAAACGCCCCAGCCCTTCTCCAGCCATTTCATGCATCAAAGCACTCCTGTTGTGCAATGCCCTGCACCACGCCGGTGAGGGCTGGGGTCCTGGGGGCCGCGGCTTGTGGACCAGGGCTGCATCCCCAAGCTGCTCCTTGCATGGTGCTGCCCTGGGTCACTCATCTGGAGCCCCTGGAGCTCGCCCCGGGCCTGTCCGTGGCCCCGTTTTAGCCTCCACTTTGTGTCTGAGATTAGCGTCATGTTTGGCAGGTTAAACAAATCCCCCAACTAGTCGGCTGAGTCAGCAGGCAGAGCGTTTCAATGAAGCAGCACTGGAAAATCTGGTTTTGCTCCTGATCTTAGCTGCTCTGAGCCAAAGCGCCTGCGCTCCCGTCTCTGCAGCACCGAGAAAAACAACAACAACAAAAAAAGAAGCCACAAAGGGAGGACAGAGTCCTAAAAAAGTAAATATCACTTTTCAGCCACACCTGGGTTCCACAGCCTGGATCATAGCTCCGGTGGGGAGAAACCACCCATGGCACCGGCTGTTGCTAACCTGAGGAGCCCTGGGAACCTGCCCCGTATTATTATTTTCATTTCATGAAGAGCTGCTTGCTGCAGGCAAGGGATGGTCACCCGGCTCTGTCCCTGTCCCCGTGTCACACAGGTAGCCCTGGGGATGGACCAGCCCTGTCCCTGTCTCCATGTCATGCAGGAAGCCCTGGCCGTGCTCTCAGTGCTCTGTAAAGTAGGAGGACAGCGGGACGATGCTTTTGGGTGCACAGGACCACATGGTGCTTGCGCGCACCAGGTCTGCAAGGACGGGGCTGATACAGGACCTAGCAGCGCTGGCTCATTGAAGAAGCACAGGCATGATGCTGTGGGTCCTCTCTGCCTTGTGGCAGGAAAAGACACCCCTGTAGGGGGGAATAAAACCCAAAAAATAGAGGTCAAGTTGAAGAATTGGCTTCTGTTGAGAGCTGATGGAGAGTCGCAGCCCCAACAGCTGGATGGAGGGGGAGAAGCTGGGGGGACCCAGCTGTGGGGACACAGCCGTGTCCTGGCCACCTCCCTGCCACCACCCAGAGTACGTGACACACCGACCTTGCAGGAAAAGCCACAGAGACCCCTTTTTAAGGAACTACCCCAGAGCCTTAAGCAACACAGGAGTGTGTCATGAAGATGTACTGGAATTGGGTGAAATGGAGACATTTCACAACCCCCGGAGGGGTGCAGGTGGACGGCTGGGCTATAAGAGACGCCGCATTTGGGACTGACCCCACTCCAGCCCGAGTCGATCTTGCTGCTTCGCCAAGATGAGCAAGGCAAGTCCAATGGCGACAATGGGTATTATTTAAGATCTCCATGCTTTTATTCCAGGTGCTGGTTGGGACAGAGGTTCAAGGATGCTCGGGGAGCCTCTCCTTGCTGTGTGAGCATCTCTGCTCAGGCTCATCCAAGCTCAACCCACAAGGAGAGAGGTCTCCTCCTGAAAAAGGGTCCTTGCAGCACGATCCAGCCACCAAAGGGGCTCCTGGACATGGGATCTCATTCGCAGTGCCCGCACCTCTACAGAGGTTTTGGCAGTGCCAGCAGCTATTCTGGGAGCCTTGCTCCAGCAGTGCCCTGACTTGAAAAAGGCACATTCTGGAGGGGAAAAAAAAAACATTCAGGTCTTGGATGTTATCTGTAGTTGCACAGTCCAGATCAGAAGCAGGCAAAGGCTGCAACTCCTCTTGGATTCCTTTGGCTTGTAGATAAGAGCAAACTCCAAAAAAACAGCTCAAATGTATTTCCCCCAAAAAAGAATGACTGAACAAAGCCAGGCTGTGTCCTGGTGTGAAGCCGGGGGCTGTACAGGAGCCTCGCTGGTTTATATCAGACTTCCTCTGGTTTCTGACATTATTCATTGTAATTGTTTCTCTTCCAGACCTCCCAGACCCAGGAAGCTCTCTCTGAGCTGGAGAAGGCCATGGATATCATCATTGATGTCTTCCACCAGTACTCGAGACGGGAGGGGGACAGAGACACTCTGACCAAGAAGGAGCTGAAGCTCATGATTGAGAAGCAGCTTGCGAACTACCTGAAGGTGAGCGGAGTCCAAGCTGGGTGACGATGGCACAAGGATGGAGACGCGCACAGCACTGGGCTGTGGGGGACCTGGCACCCGCGAGGGTCCCAGCGAGGCTGGGGGGAGGCTTGAGCTGTGAAAGAGGTGACTTCTCCCTCACTCATCCCTTCCTTTGCAGCACGTGAAAAACAGGGCGACCATCGATGAGATCATGAAGGACCTTGACGTCAACAAGGACGCGCAGATCAGCTTCAGCGAGATGATGCTGCTGGTCACCCGCGTGACCATCGCCACCCACGAACACCTCCACGAGGTCGAGGACCAGCAGCATCAGCACAAACACCAGCACCAACACCACCACTGAGGTGGGCTGTGGTTCCCAGCCAAAGGCACCCGTGCAGCACCGACGTCCACCCGGCTTTCTCCTCTCCATCCCTCCTTGCCCACCTCCCTCCTTCCCTTCCTTCAAGTCTGATGGTTTTGCTGCCAAATAAAGATTTGCCCTGAGGCTGCCAAAGCTCTCCTGTGTGTTTCTGCGTGGGTTTTCCTTGAGACAACGGTCCTGGACCTTGTTCTTTCCCAGCACGGGGTTAAACTCGGAAACAGGCTGCAGGTTCCTCAGCTGGATGCTTAGGGACAGAAACGGGGTTCATTGCAGCTGATGTTCACAATACTGCTTACAAGTTGCTCTACAGGTCAGGGAAGGTTGTGTAATTTGACACGTCTTTGCATTTCCAACTACAAAAAAATAAAGAGCCCATTGTAGGCTGAAAACACTCTGCATGTCTCCCAGGACTAAGCTGCAGCTGTAGGCGGGAGCTGGAAGGATGGATGGGGATGGATGAGTCCCCTTTTCTGGAGGAACCACCTTTTTTAGGGCATTTTTGCTCTGCAGGGTCCTGTCAGGAAGCTGGGGGGTGAATGCATTTAGTTTTAGCTCTACAGCCAGCAGCAAGGTCCAGCCGCTGGTCTTCACATGGACAAGAACTGAGAACCCCAACTCCACCCAGAGCATCCCAAGTTTTTGCACCGCTATTAACAGCTGCTTTCCAGAGTAAGGGGTTGAGCAGCTCCCCCCCCAGCCCTGGCACACTTAG